CAACACTGCCCAAAATTGCAGGCATATTTATAGAAAAAAAACACTTTAAAACAGCTGTACACTGTAGTGACCTCTACGCACGAAAGGGTTAGTGTGGATCACCAGATGGTGATGGTGTCTGTGTTTTGTTTTAAAATACTGTACGTATCAGGAAGCCACAGTCTCTTCAGCAGGAAGTGCTGCTGTTCAGTCAGCGAGTCAAACCAGACTTAGAAAAAAACCCTGCAGGGCCTCCCAACACTGGTTAGCACTGATGCCTCACAGTAAGAAGGTCCTGGGTTCAGTCCTCAGTTTAGACTTGGGATCTTTCTGWGTGGAGTTYATAKGTTCTTCTCAAACTTGTGTGAGGTCTCTCCTGGTCTCCTAAGGCCTAACTCACCCCTCCAGTAAAACATTYCTGAAGGTGCCACTGATACAGAGCAATGCTGCATTCACATGTTGCAGCAGACTTGTATTTTGTCACTTAGCCTTGGCAGCGGGTGAAGGTCAGGTTTACATTACCTTGTCTAGACAGACAGTAAACAATTTGAATGCACTGTTTATTGACATATATAAAAACAACAGTCAAAATCAATTTTAAATTTGCTACAATTGTTATTTTAGCCTACTATTTAAAAAGTGGTGTAACATTTTTAGCATTATCCCAATTTCCAAGTTTCTCTCCTGTCTTATAGTCTCTGTGATGTTACTTGCAGACTCTGGACAGTAGTTAAACAGTTGGACTAAACAGATATTTAATTACTTAAAGCGCTGCTCTGGTGCTGACAGACACAGATATCATAAAGGCCTTTATGACGTTGATGTTGACAGCAYTTGGTCCTTTTTGTCCCACTCAGGGTAAAGCTAGCCTGGTAAAAAAAAAAAACAGCCCCAAGGGTCAGACTAGGGTAAAGCAATGAGGTATGTTTACTAGAAGAGCTATCACGTGACTTTGGGTATGCTGAACGCGACTCCATCTTGACACAGTCATTCAACCATTGAACACAGACCCACAACGCCGTGTCACTGTGCAGCGTTCGCTTGCAGCAATCGTAGTGGAAAATGTTCGTACCTCATAACATTTCATCTGTAATTTTTTTCTTTTAAATAAGAAGGCCATGTTTAGCATTGTGTTTATGTTCAGAATTAGTACTGACAAGAAATGGATCCAAATCATTTGTGAACTACATGAAATCTCCCACTGCTGGAGGGTGAAATTAAACTTTTTGTTTGTGTTTTTGTATTTCTGTTGAGCCAAGGTGTGCC